GGCCGAAAAAGCCGCTTATGAGCGGAGAAGGGAGGCCCAGGCTTCCGGCGCTGTTCCTTCTTGCGCGCCTGGGGGAGGAAGGTACTCTTACCCCCCGTCAGATCCTTAATGATCTCATCCAAGGTGGAACCAAACAGACGTAACGCAGGCCCTGCACCAACTGGTCCGCCAATTCCACAAAGGCGGGGGAGACGTTCTCCTCCGCAAGACCCTGATGTAACATCTTTGCCCACTCGGTTAGAGTCTGAGAAACCAAGGCTGAAGCCAAGACCGGACGTACTAGAGCACCCGAGACAGAGTACAGGGGCCGTAAAAGCGCCTCAGCCTTCCTATCGGAAGGATCCTTAAAGGACGGCGAATCCTCCACCGGGATAACCGTAGCCTTGTTTAAACGAGATACCGGCGGGTCCACCACCGGAGGTGAAGACCACTTAGACACAAAATCCTCCTCAAAGGGGTAGCGAACCGAGAACCGCTTCGGGACCGCAAAGGACTTGGAAGGCCGTTTCCACTCCTTATAAAGGAACTCATCAAAAAAGGAGATGTAAGGAAACACCTTGGCGGAACGCCTACTCTTATGCGTCCCAAACTGCACGTGCTGCAGCGCGGAAGTGCTGGCAACGTCCTCAATTTTGAGGGTGTCCCTAACAGCGCGGACTAGGTTTTTTGTTATGTGCCTAGCGTCCTACTCCTGCAGGTGGCGATATACCCTACCTTTCAGGATCTACGATCTGTTGCCCTGTGTCCTTCAATGAACGGGAGAGAAATGTGATGTGCATCTCTGCCCCTAATTATGAGTGCAAAGCCAATGCATGTCAAGCTTGCTGGAGCCAGATGCTGTGCAAACTCACAACACTTCAATGACATCCAACTGCATATTGATTAGTGAGCCCACATACACAGCCTAGTTGTTAAGTCCTGATGAAGGGGTCGGGTTAAAACCTCCAAAACGCGTTGGCTTTGCAAACAATCATTGGAATCAACTTGTATTTGGACTTGAATATTAGTGTGTGGCACTTCAGTTCTAAACAAATTCATCTTTACCACAACTTAACACATCTGTGATTGCAGAAGACTTTTGATGTGCAGAAGCCGCCAGGCCAATATAAAAATTCTCCATATTTCTACCATTGCCACACTATTGGAGGACAACAAAAATATAAAATAAACTTATAAAGAAACCTCAGTGTTCCAGGGCATGCTATCTAGCATACACTACTGAATTTGGCTGCTTAAATTAGAGGCTTCTGAGACAAGGGTTTAACTCAGATCCACTTTAAACACCTAAGATGACAACAATTGCCTATGTTATTTTGTTCACAAGGACCTATAACGCACAACTGTGCTTACCTAAGGATATAAGATGTGGCCAAAATCACAGTTCTAAATTGATAATTTTTGTTTTAAAACCAAAAGGTTTCATTTACACTTTTTTAAAAAAAAATTCTGAGTATAGTTATAGAAAGTTGTCCATTCTGTATACCTGCAATAAAGAAGGGATACAATGTGCACGTGCTGAATGAGCTGTATAATATGTAGTGGTTTAATGCAAAATGGACACATGCAACCAGTCTCTACAACTACCCTCCCTGCATCTCATTCAAGGATTCAATATCAGCTGCTTGGCTGCAATTGGGACATTGACCGTTACTGCTTGTTAGAGATTTTCTGTCTCATACATGCTACTATACTTTCCAGACGGCTGCTCTGGCTTACCCCACTCCCCACTCCAATACACCTGTAGCCACTGCGCAGCGTGAACATGGATTGTATTGTTGCTGTGTGTCTCTTTTGCTGGCTGCAGTCCCATGGGGGCCTAGATACATCCTCCAAACTCCTCATTAATGTGGGTTAACAGAAGCTCGGGGACCCAAATCCCCTACTTAGTATGGCTATCCTCCCTTTTCCCTTGTACTACCAGCCCCCCGCCCGCACCCACTTTGTCCTTTCCTGAACAACCTTCAGATACTCATTCAAACAAATCGACAAAATGACACAACAGTCTTCCAGACACTAACCAAAAAACACACAACTTTGTGAGCTACTTGATCAAAGTGCCCTAAAACACAAATACTTCCAGAAATGCTATTTTTATGAACATGAAAACAAATGTGGGAGACTACGTGCCTGGTCTATATGTGCCAAAAAAAAACACGTACTTAGATGGCTAAAATTCACTCCCCCTCCAGTTAACTGGTGTACCGCACTTACCAGATCACTCAGGTCTTTCATGTCATTTAGAACTGTATAACCTTACCCCTATTGCCCCACTTCCTTGACAGACTCTACCCCGACCCACTTTCCTTTATTAAACCCAGCCCCCACCTGTCCTATATCGAGATGCCTATAAACATTTATCTGAACTCTTTAACTTGGAAGAAATTATAAACAAACATTATAATGACGTGTTGTCCCTATCCTAAAAACCATCTCAAGAAGCTCATATCATGGTGATACAAAAAAACAACAAAGTTGTGACACTAAATTGGCTTAGGCCCCCATTAAGAGCTTAGGGCCAATACCATTAAAAGCCTAACAATCATACACCATGCCAAAACCAACAACATTCCATTATGCCTTCTTTCCATCAACGCCAAGAAGGTGTTTGACTTTTTTTTGCAACCCTCACCCGAATTGGCATACCACTATCACCAGTGAATAAAATTGGCCCCCCTCTATTACTGACCCACAGCACGAGTCAGAGTAAGATACATTAGAAACAGAACCACGAAGGGATGTCCGCTGTCACCATACCTCTACATACTGGTTATGGAGAAACTAGCAGAAACCATCAGGTTTATCTCCTCTAGTCAGGGTATAACCATCACCACCAGCTTGACCTCTGTGTCGATGATCCCTTAATATATATCCCATACCCTAAAATTGGATACCTGTCCCTCTTAGAGGAATTCCACAAATTTGGATATAGGGGTGCGCAATTCCAATAACGCCCAGAACATGCCGGGCAGGTTTTTTTATTACTTTATTTAGCCCTGTTGCAGGCAAGCGGGGCTAAATGTGGAGCAGGGGAGCCGGCTCTCATTTTGTACAAGTGATCACTTGCAGCAGCCTGCTTGTTAGCCCCTTTGTGATAGCAATAAAGATAAGCGAAAAAAAAGTGACAAACAAGTACAAAATAATAAAATAAATAGAAAATGAAAAACCAACCCCACCATCTGCATGTGAATAAACGCACATGTAGGGCAATGGAGTGCATTCCACTGTGTGCCATATTGCGGTAGCCGGGCAGCAGCGCTCTCTAAACAAGCACAATGTGCATTAAAGTAATTTGGGAAAATTGAATTAACGGCTTAAATCTAGCCCCCTTCCCCGCTATAATTACCTTTCGGTGAATGGTCCTTCGCCGGTACGTGTGTAGCCCTGCACTATGGATTTTGAATTTCACTCACAAATTGTGAGCACCCATCGGTCAGCGCCATCACCTGACCGCACTGACCAATGAGAAGAGCTTCTAAGCCCGGTTTAAGTTAAAAATGTTTTACTTTTCACAAGTAGATTGTCACAAAGGACAAGTAGATTGGGCCTTCGGTTTAGTCGTTGGACAAGTAGTTTTTTTTTTTTAAATGTCCACACCCCTGGGATAGGTCAGTAACTAAGTAACAGTAAGGTGAACTTACACATACCGGAGCCCTTTCCCATGAGCAAGATCCAACACCTACAAAGCCAATTCCCCTCCTCTTTGCAATGTCAGACCATTAAATACCTTGGGACATATGTTCCTACTCCTTTTGAACATGTATCCTTACTAATCTCCTGGGATGGAATATCAACTGAACTATCTCCCACTCCTACATAGTATAATAAAACAACAACAATGGACACCTCTCCATCATTAGCAGTCAAGCAGAATGGCCTTTTATAGAATGGACATTTTTTACATGCATCCTCTACCAGTTTCAAGCAAGTCCCATTAGTCTCTACTCAAAAATATTTGGGCCAAAAAAAAACAAAAAAGGATCCAGACAAAGATAAGACCTCCTTATTAGAAAGAAGGACTGAGGAGGCATGGTCTTCCACAGCCTACAACTATACCATCAACCTGCCTTTCTGAAAAATATTATAGACATACCCAGACTATAAATTCTGGGCAACCATTGAGTCCCACTTATCTCCCATTTTCATCCCCCAGCCCACTGTCCAAACTCCCTTTAGCTTCCTTTCTGCCGATCTTCACTACTGAAACCACCAAAATATCTTCCTACTTAAAGTATTATTAAAGTCACTTTTGTTTTTACATATATTTACTGCTAGCAAGCAGTAGATATATGCAAAAAGATTTTTTTAAAAGTTACCAAATAGGTAATTACTTAACTGTGTCTCCACCGTTCGCTCCCGTCTGGAGATCTGAAGATTCTCGAGCAGCCATACAGGACGATGGAGCGGGCGCATGCGCAAAAGAGATCTTTGGCCGGGAGAAGAGGAGAGACAGTGTAAGTGAATTTCCGCACCCAGGAGCGTGCAAGAGGACAGACACCGTGAGACACAGAAGACAGCAATCAGCGCTGGATCAGAAACCGGTACCAGTGCTGGAGGGACTCCTGAAAACTACTGATGAGGTGACCGGATCAAGAGAAATCCTTTTAGGCAAGTCCTTAAAGAAGCATAGGAAAGGGGGGGGATGGTGACTTTAATGCAACTTTAAGCCCCCTTGACTCCTGCCATGGACAACTCAGTTTTCATGCAGGTGCTATATACACTGCCAATACCTCCAAGAGCCTTTCTTTGTATGCCTTTCTAACCTTCACAACACCAAATAAAAAAAAACAACAACAAAAACAATATACAGCGCTCTCAGGTAGAATATGAAAGTGGTGTGGTATGCAGCCCTAGAAACCAGGAGGAGAATTATCTAACCTCACATCTTTGATTTCTGTATCCTAACACAGAACCTGTCTATCTTTTTCAGCAGAGTTCATTTTGACTAAAATGCCATTTTAGTTGTTTTGGTCAACCAAATCTAATGGGTTTATTTTTAGTGTAATGCATTATTTAAACAAAGTCTCTAGAATTTCCAAGCTCATTTAATATTCCTGGAGTAAACCTCTATTGACCTGTTATGACTTACGATTGTTGCTCCACATGGTTTACAAAGGGTCTTGTTCTCATTAGCATCAAATGTAAAATGCATCCATACATCTGTAGTTTGTGCAGCAAGTGTTTGCTAGCTGGTAACCTACTGATCTACCCAGCGGGACATTATTCAGTTGTGCACATCTCCCAACTACAGGAAGAGGAAGAGCTCAGGGAACCAGAAGTCCAATTACAATAGTCCCTCCCATTTTCGTTTGTCAGTGAAGATTACCAGAATGTTCGTTTCATGTTCCTTCCATTAACTTCTCTATTACTTAGGTTTCGTCACTAAAAAACATGCAGATGAAAAAAGAAAAAAAAAATATTTTTTAGTCAACGAAATTAACACCATTTTGCAGGACCCAATAACGCCATGTGGGTGACAACGCTGAATCCCTCATAAATATATCAAGATCTTCTGCAGATCCTCACAATTAATTGTTACACCGTCAGATTATTATGCTGTTTTCTTTGATACTACAGTACAACTGGCCCACATTGTACTTATCCCCAAGATTCTTGTGTTGAGATGAACTTTTATCTGTGTACTTTAAATTCTCACAAACGGAATTGATAAAAAAAAAAAAAGGGTCTGAACAAGGACCATCATGGCATGATCACCAGGCATTATTTTAATATAAGCGGCAGATTTAAACTTTGGAAATGACATTAACATAAAGCCAATATGAGATTTTGGTGATTAGCACTTGAAATAGTGTTACACCCCTTTCACAATTTTCATATGTAGCATGTTACCATAACTACAAGTGCAATCTTTATGCCTGCTTTCCTCTAACATTCCTCATCGGGGAGCAAAGTACCTTTAGGTCATTGCTCCTGTCTGGAACACATCAGTGGTTTCAAAGACAGTGTCTGTGCTGCTTTGATGTGCAGAAAGCCACAGAACTAAACTTCCCAAGAGCACTGGTTTTAGAGAGATGAGCAGAAGGTACCGTGCTGACGTAGGTAACTTTGCCAAGTTGTGTTGTTGTCCAGCCATGGACATCACAGCAGGGCGGACACCACTGCTTACCATTTCCTTGCGGCAGTGTCAGCACTTTTAGCCCATGGAAGAAAGTTAGAAACAGCCCGTGTTTCTGGCAGGACTACCAGGTTTTTTTTTTCCTAATAGTGGTCTGACAAAGAAATAACAGATGGCAAATGTGCATGCAATGAACGGGCAAATGTGCATGTGTAAGCAAGCTCTGCTATATGTAGGGGTTTAGTGCGAGTAATACAGTAGCTGCCACTACTGATCTCCCTCTAAAAACCCCAGATGGCTGGCTGTGCTTGGCTTCAATACATTCCGAGTCACTGACATGAAACAAGTCTGCAGCAGAGTGAGGTCAGAACCCCTGGTTTGCATACGTGTTCTTGACCAGAGACTCAGAAAGCAATGAAACCAGAAAACTTGCATTTTCAGAAGCAGAGACCAGAATAACAGCCTACATACATCCCACATACAGGTTTAGTTTGAAGAAAATTAAAACATTTGCAAGAAAAAGGTGTCAAAGTGCACACAGAACATACCTGAGATCAGCATCTGGAATATAGGACTGGATGAAGCTTGTTAGGGCATCTCTAATAATCTTTTCCCGCGACATGCCACAGTTATTCCTAGAAATTAATAAGAAGAGACCTTGAAAACAAAGTCTGTACTGTTTTTCCAACCTGCTACTGTTATTACTAAGACGTAAAGATGAGCAATAAATATAGCCCTTCACACATACTCTCTGCTTAGAAACCGCCAGGTTCTAAATAAAGCAACTTCTTTTTCTGAGAAACAGGAGAATGCAGCAGAAATAAACCAGCAGACATTGGAACTTAAAAACAAACTAAAATTACATGTTAAGCACCAAATACATGAGCAATGACATCCATTTCTCAGCTTAGGAACATTTTCAAGGTTGGGTTTGTTTTTGCAAATGTGTGGGATGCCTCAGGTGTGTGTGTATGTATGTATGTATGTATGTATGTATGTATGTATGTATGTATGTATGTATGTATGTATATATATATATATATTACACACTGAGTGGCCAGATTATTATGACCACCTGATGTTTGTAGGCAAATAAGCTATAATTTGGCGCTGAAGTTGCTAGAGGGCCAGACCATTATAAATAGGGAAGCAGGTTGTTTACCACGACAGTAGAAGTGATTTTTTTTTCTGAAGATATGGCTAAACAACGCGATTTAACAGCCTTTGAACGTGGGATGATTGTTGGCGCTCGGAGCCATGGAGCGAGTATCAGCAAAACAGCAGAATTCGTTAAATGTTCAGGAGAAGCTGTCGTTAAAGTGTTTAAAGACTGGACTGTCAACGGAAAATCTGGGTCTGAACATGCGAATTGTGGCCGTCAGCGACTAGTCAATGTTAGGGCAGAACGGAGAGTGGCAAGACTGGTACAAGACAGCAGAAGGGCAACAGTGCAGTGTCAGATTCCTCGCATCACCTTTCAACATCTCGTGAAGTTACGAGGCGGCCCAACTAAGTCATCTCGTGGCCCAACGAAGTACTGATGGGGTGGTCATAATAATCTGGAAAGTAGCCACCGTTCCAAGCTCGCTCCTATGATGGACTATAATTTCATTACAAATTAGTAAAGTAAATGAGATTGTAGTCCATCACAGGAGCTATCTTGGAGTGGTGGCTACTTTACAACACACACAGGGACCATGGGTAACAAAAGTAACCACCCTCCAGAAGGAAGGACAGTGTCAGCACCAATTCAGAGATGATTTGAGGATCTACAGCCGAGTGATACACAAATAAGATACATTTTTGTTAATAGTTAAAAGGTACTTCAATGCATTTTTAAGATTTGACTAACTTTAAAGTTTAGTGTCACTTTAAATATTAATTGTTAATAAAAGATTATAATCACTATCAAAAATATTGACAATTCCGCTACCCTAATCCAGACTAGTAAACTGGACTTTACAGCTATTTTCAAGTAAATATTTTCCTTAATAGTCACAAATTATATTTGTGTACACCAAATGCCTTTGCAAACCCTGTTACCATATAAAAAGGTATCGGGTAGAGAGAGCAGAGCTGTGGGGGGGACCCAGTAGAACACACCCACTACAGGCTGCTTGCAGTAAACTAGGAGGGGGCAGATACAAGACCATTCACCCTGCACAAGGAGAAAGAGCAGCAGTGAGCGGTCTGTATAGCTGGCCATACACCTTATAATTTATCTGCAGATTTTCTGAGGTCAGAGGGAAAAAGTGCAACAGATTTTCCCAGGTGGAGATTACTCCATCCACACAGTTAAGTGTAGATGGAGGAATCTGTTGCACCTTTTCCATCTGACCATAGAAAATATGCAGATAATTGTAATGTGTATGGCCAGCTTATTACAGGAAGCTCCCGTACAGAGGCAAAGTTTCACTCTGTAATACTGCACAGATCTGGAACTCACCAGGGCATTATTGGTTCACGGATATATCCTGCACCCATTTGTGGGTAAACCAGAAATAATGTTTAACAAGTTCCAGCAATATAAAGACTTAATTGGTTGGATGACCTGATTGGCAGTTCCCCGAGTCTTGGTTCAAGTAAGTAAATTAGACATTGCTTGCAGCAGTACAATTCATATTTTCATTTAATTCAATATTTCTTCCGTTTGTCATGAAACAAACCCAGCAGATTTACAGTTTTAATGTCATATTCAATCTTTTTTCCCCCCATCTCTTGAGGACCTTAAACCATGTCAGTAATATGAAAGAGGAAATATTTCCGGCAGTTGTAAGCAGGTCAGGTTTAACATCAGTCAGATCCATGAAACAGTAGAAAGATCAAAGTTCCACTTGACAGAATCATTGAATTCCCACTCTGCTCAGTCATGGTCTTGTGGAACTCTACAATTCTGTCTAGAGCAGCTATTAGGCTGACTGCTATTCAATTCAGTAATTAAAGGAGAACTAAAAAGGCAAAACATACAACTTGGGGATAAATAAGACTTAATAAGAATAGCTGCTTAAAGCCCAACTTTGGGCTCTTACTAAACCCCCTTTCTGGAAGCCCCTACCGTATGTTATTCCTTTTATTTTATTTATACTTACCTTCATCCAGATAGCTTCAGGCCAGTCATGTAGCACACAGGGTGCTCTCCAGATCTTTTTCTGGTGGTGAGGGTGCTCAATGGTTCAGAGTGGTGATGAAGTGGTGATGCGAGTACAGGGTACCATTCTGAAGCCACCGCAGGGCACAGGTCCGTGACACCCTGCACTCATAGGATGTCCTCAGTCTTTTGGCTTAAATGACAAGTGACTTCATTCAACTCTGAATCTAAGAACATCTAGTGGCAAAGGGGGCTTACTGTGGTGAACAGCATCGGACTGGAGGCTGGTATTGCAGCCAGAGCTGCTTATTTGTTTTAATTCCTTGCTGTGGGTCTATTGAAATAAAAACCCAAGTAGTAGTTGTAGCTTGGCCACCTTTTGTTTTTAGCTGCAGTGTTTTGGCATCTAAAGGTTTCAGCTAGTTAGAAGCCAAATTATGTCCTCCAGTTACCCAAAGCTCAGTATACCGCAAGCTGCAGCTCGCGGTATATTGAGACGCCGCAGCTGAAACGGATCTGAAGCCGCAGCTGAAACAATTATGTCTGGATCCGCCCAGCTGCGTGAATGACAGCTGGCTCTGCCTATCTAGAGGCAGAGCAAGTTGTACCCGCCCCCTCCCCCATCCGTTCCGCCAGTCAGCGCTGGAGGATTGGACAGGGGAGGGGAGAATCCAGTCACTCCCCTGTCATGGCTCTCTGCAGTGACCCGATCTACTGAGCCAAACTGTGACAGTCTCATTATCACAGGTCGGCTCAGATTATGAGGCTGAGTAAAAAGCACTCACCTCATAGTTCTCCTTTAAATCCACTCTGAATTCATGCGGACTGTCCTTCCTGCTATCCTTCTAGAGCAGTGGTTCTCAACCTTTGTAGGGCTGGGACCCCTTGGTAACATTTGCCAAGTTGTGGTGACCCCCAAAGGTAAAATTTAGGGATGACGCGGCTGCTGCAGCGACATCTGGAGGCGTGGCAGGAGAACTGACACTGCTGCGCTTGGAGAGAGCTGAGGAGGACTCTTACCTAGCACAGCAACCCACAGGTTGAGAACCACTGCTATAGGCACAGACAGGACCGGGCTCTGCAGCTGGAACTAGAAGAATTGGATTTAAAGTGTGTGGCTATATAACGTACGAGGTACATACTCCGCAGTACTGTCACTGATAGGGATGGGCTCGGGCGTGTTCGCAGCTCCACATGCCGAGCCCGCCAGGAAGCTGACAGCGCGCAGTGCCAATCACAGGCACTGAGACATTTCCCGATCTCTGCAGCTGCGGATCGGGAAAATGGAATGCATAGCAAGGAGGTGTGTTTTACATATTTTTTTGCTTGAATACATACATATTGCACCCGCCCTCTTCAGGTCCCCCTCTGCTGATTGGCAGCATCACAGGGTGGGTGCAATAGCTAGTTTGCTATTGGCTTTTGCAAAGTGAAATAGCCAATAGGAATCTAGCTATGCATTCCTATGGTGGTTTTTTTTTTCTGACTTACGGCGGCCCCCGATTGAAAAAAAAAAAAACACAGAGCAGAGAAAGGTCCCAACCTTTCCGGGAGAAAATGTTTCTCTCCCGGCTGCCAAGAGCCACTAGGCGACCCCTGGCAAATCATCATTCGACCCCCGAGGGGGTCCCGACCCACAGGTTGAGAACCACTGTTCTAGAGGGTGGCTTATATTATTCCCCATGGTCTCTGTGTGTGCTGTTTGCTCACGTGATGGACTACAATCTCAGTACAAATTAGTAAACTAAACGTGAGATTGTCACCCTGTGGAGAGGTTAGTGTTAGATGCACTATAACATTTAGATGGACTTGACTGACAAATTAAATCCAAACGGCAGCCAACACTTTTTAAAAGATAACTATGGCCCAACCTTTTTTGTGGCCATAGATTTCTTTTGGGTCACAGGAGGACGTTTACTAATATAGCCAGCTATTCTCAGGATCCACCCCACCACCTGACTGAGCGGTCTAGAGGCAGAGCCAGCCCCCTCCGTTCCTCCAGTGCTGGAGAGGGGAGTGGAGAATCCCTGCTGGGAGCGATGACTGACAGGTGCAGTGTTACACATCGGGTCTAATTATGGGGGGGAGTGTATTACAGCGTCCCCATAATTCTCCTTTAAACAGTTACAGCAAGAGTTTTTTTTTTCCTTTTGGGAAAAAGGTTTTCCATAAATGACTAAAAGCTGTCTGTGTTAAAAAGTTTGTCCCAAACCTCAGCCACTTATGCTGGACAACTTGGTCTGTTTAAAGAGGTTACAGCAAAATTACTGGCCAGATCAACAGGTGGAAATAAAAGGAAAAAAAGCCTAAAAAGAGAAAACTAATGCAGCCACCATATCAAAGAATTGGTAAACTTTGTTTTGCATAGTAACCGTGATCAGTGGATTGCAGGTGCGATGCTCTGGCTCCTACAAACTCCCATCCCCTGTACCATTCCAAGATACAGACTTTCAGTTAAAGGACAGGAGGGTGACATCACCGCACATTGAGAACTAAACGTCCCTCTGCTGCTGTGGCTGATGGGACTGGTAGGCTATCCATTCGCAGCGTTTGGAGAGGTGGGGATGTGACCAGGTTTCATGTCACACCCTGAATACATGTGTGTATAGCAGGGCTCAAAATTTCAAGTCCTGAGCTACTAGCCAGGCCTTAAAAGTTACTCGCCACCAGTTGCCCCACCTAACCCCTACCCCGGACTTAACTCCGCCAGGTCAGTAATGTAACACACAGCGCAGAGGTCAGTAATGTAACGCACAGGTCAGTAATGTAACACACAGCGCAGAGGTCAGAGTGACGCACAGCGCAGATGTCAGAGTGACGCACAGCGCAGAGATCAGAGTGACGCACGGCGCAGAGGTCAGTGTGACGCACGGCGAAGTGGTCAGAGTGACTACTCGCAAATTGCGAGGGGGCGAGTGGAAATTTTAAGCCCTGTGTATAGCATAAAAGATGTCCTGGGCTCACAGGAAGTTACCTGAATGATACTGGTGGTAATTTAACCCAGGAGGAGGAATGCAGCCAGTGCTACCTTTTAAAGGATGGTAAAAATGCAGCAGCAGCAATGGCTCATCTGCATCAAGACACAGAGAACAGGGCATGTTTTCTGATGAGCCAGATGAAGCGCTCTTGCTGAGTGGTAGCCATGATGGGGCTATACAGACAACAGCTGAAAAGGGTCACATCAGGTGCCTGGCATCTTAAAGTGACATTAAACCCTCAGATTTTTTTAACATAAAACACTACTGTAATGTGCGCCTTACTGTAATCCATGGTTGTTTCCCTTCTCTTTGCTGCTCTTCCTTTTAAATCTGTATCTGTTCTTATGCTCTGCAGAACTTGTTTTGCAGCAGTCTGCCTTGTCTCAGGAATGGATACACGGTGTCGGTGTATCCGTTTGTATAGGCTTGTAATCTGAGCCAGCACTACAGGAAGAGGCCCTGAGCTGAAAAGGGAAGTTCTCCCCAAGCATGAGAAGACATGAGGATTTAAAAGGAAGAGCAGCAAAGAGAATGAAAACAACCATGGATTACAGTAAGGCACACATTACAGTATTGTTTTGTTAAAAAATCTGAGGGTTTAATGTCACTTTAAGTCTAGGGGTAGCCAGGAAGGCTACAAGGATGCACATCCATGAGGACACCTCAGTCTACGCCCCCCCTCCTCACTTATAGACACATTTAGAGGGCACGTTTCTATATGGCAATGATGAAGAGATAACTATTGCATTGTACAATAATGGCAGCTCTGAGGACATGGCACACAGTGTCAGACCAGCTCCACATCACTAGCACACTGCATTAGGAGCGCCATGACACACAGCCGGACATACGCCTGACATCATTCAAACCTACCGCCCGTATTCAGCACAAACAGTCAGACTTGCAGCACGGCTCCGCTCACTGACGTCACTTCCTTCCTACCTGCTCTCACGGGCAGTCCGGAGTGTCTGGCCGCCATGTTGTTTGTGGGCAGCCTAAGTTTGACCCTCCGCACTCGGCAAAGCAGACAAAGACAGAGCAGATTATTTTGTAATGACCTCTTGACTCCACGTGATACTCACAAATATTTAACTTATAGGCGGTGTACCCTTATCAAAAGGTATAAGTATATAACTTTAGGTTAGTTGGTAGCCAATCAGAGGAGAGGGGCGGGGGTTGTGCTATGTTTTGTTGCCGCCCAAGTGTTCTCGGCTCCATTCATGCTGCTGTAACGTCTGATTCACATTGTGGGTTGGATGCACTTTTACACATTCGTTTTAGAGGCATTACCATCAAACTTTATTCATTTTGTTCTTTTTTTGTGTGTGTTGCATTACCACGTATGCATTGGGGCAGCCCATTTATTTTGAAAATAGACAAAAGAAACTGCATACAGCATTTACAATAGTGTGCTGCGATGCTCTGCAAACGTGCTGCATTAACTTAGTACCTTGGATTGCTATTTAATAGGAATGATACCACAACATGTCAATGCACATAATGTACGTTACCGCAACAAACTGCATCACAAAAGTGGGATTAAGCCCTTACAGCAGGACTCCGGCCAAATCTTAAAGTGACATTAAAGCCAAAACATTTTCCCCCTCCCCCCATGTAAATGTTAGCACTTTCCTCAAATTATGTCTCTTATTCTGATCTTCCTCTTCTTTCCCCGTGTTTTCATGTGTCCCTCCAGCGGTGTGACGTCACTCCGATCCAGCGGTGTCTGCAGGCGGGTGCACGCGTCCATAGACTTACCTTGCGTCTCTGCTCGTCTCCCGGCCGAGAATCGGAACTGCGCATGCGCTAGCCCCAAGATCCTTTGCGGCCGTACGATCACTTCCTGATTCTCGGCGCGGGATCGAGCAGCGATAACGAGGTAAGAATATTTAAAGAGACCCTGTCATTAACTTAAAACAATAACAGGTAAAAGCACAAAAAAACAAGTATTTTAAAGAAGAACTCCCGAAATTAACAAAGTTATCCCTTGAGGTGGGGCTACCCCTGCACTGTAAGGGTTAATGTCCTGTTTTTCCCTAGGGGGGGCAATAAGTAAGCATTGTGAAATAATAAATAGAGCCCCTAATCATGTAATGATTTTTTTCTAAAATGAATAGTCTGGAAACATGGTCTCTTTAATATTATTAAATGTACAACTTTCATTCAAATAATATACATTTAAAAAGTGCCTACAAGAAATGACCAATGCTCCTAAGCTTATCCTGACAATATTATCAGTTCCTAAAGACATCAAGTACATATGCAAATGATGAAACAAAACGTACATGTTGTCCAATATGTTTGCATATTCATTAAAATAACACCTGGTGATCCTGCCATGTAGGTCCTTTTTAGGTACTTCCTGTTATAGAGTGACAACTTTCTGTGCCTGTCTTCCAAATGTGCTTCTGCATTGTAACCCTGTCACATAGGCCTCCAATGGAGAGCAAAGTGGGTGTTTCACATTACACAGTTATGTCCCACTTCTGTCATCTGCAGGAAACCCGTCCTGAGAAATGCCATGGAGCCATCACTGGAGTGCATGCAGACAGGAAGTGGCTGAAATGAAGCTACAGGAGTTAAAGGGTTAGAGAAGTTGAAAACAAGTATTTTATAACATAAAAAATGACATTTTGTAAGTGTAGTCAATTCATTATCATTCGGTTACATTTTATATTTAGTTTACGGCATGCTTTACACACATCACAACAGGATATTGTTGTAATGCACCACAAAACACCAGAAGTGTGCAGATGTGACCAGAGTTGTACATTGGGTACACATCACATTTTTATTGAGAGCATATTTTATTCAATGAATGTGAATTGCAGCAATAGCTTCTGGAATCCTGCATATGTGACTGTTTTTGCAAAGAAAACAGGTCCTATTGAAAGCAATGGGTTTTGTCTTCTCCGTGCAGGGGCCTGTGTTTAAAAGACAGAAACATCTTTCTAGCTTTCTGTCGTGTTTACTGTTATTCAGAAATATGTTGCTGATCATAGCAGGCAAGCAAACAACAATGCAGACTTGTTATAAGGCAGACTGACTGCAGGCTCCTGAAAACTACAAGTATACACACTAGCGTTCAAAGGAAAACGCAATTTAATCATCACACTGAGGCCAGGTTCACACTTGGCCGATCCTGGGATGCGCGGTTGCCACGTGGCCCCATTGATTTCCATGGGATTATATCCACGTGGCAATTGCTGAATAAAGGTTAATGTACCTTTTTTTCGCAACGCACGTTTTTTTCAGCCGTTATCGTGCACGATTGTCTGGGCGGAATTGCGGTGGTAACACGCACAATCTGCCTGCCGCGACTGGGGTGCCATTAGAAAAGGATGGCATTGCCAGCGCGATCAGCGGGTTCGTGCACGATTGCCGCAGGGTCATGGATCGCCTAAATGTAAACCGGGCCTCATTTCCACTCCTGTCAGAGTTTTGTACCCAAGAGCTTATCATTTGAGTCCATTAGATATCTTTTACTATATTATCTTAAGCCCTAATACATTAGGATCCTTGGTCCCCAAAATGCGCCGGCTGCTTGTTGCTTATGTGATAGGATTACGTGCAGTTTGGAATAGATGATGACAGTGGCTTAGTGGTTAGCACTTCAGCCTTGCAGCACTGGGGGTCCCCATTCAAACCCAGGTCAGTACACTATCTTCAAGGAGTTTGCATGTTCTCTCTGGGCTTGCGCTGGGTTTTCTCCAGGTACTCCGGTTTCCTCCCACACTCCAAAGACATGATGGTAGGTTAATTGGCTCCTTCCTAAATTGGCCTTGTATGTGTGTGGAATAGGGATCTTAGATTGTAAACTCCTTGAGGGCAGGGCTGATGTAAAGTGCTAGAGAGCCGCTTACATTAGTGAGGACGCCTGTGCTAAAGTCCGCTCTATGTTCTGTCTTGAGATGTGGCAGCATTAAAAAGTGAATGAAACTGCCGCATCAGAAAAGTGACATACAGCTAAAGGTTTCTTTTTGGTCATAGTTTTCTTTTAGCAAGAATCATGTTTTTTGTATGCATCTAGAATGGACTATACGCACCACAGAATGGACTATATATGGCCAGCCTAACATACTGTTTTACTACAGTCATCCAGATACTGATTTATCTACCTGTAATATGCATATTGAACACTAGATGTCACCATCATCCTAGTAAAACATGTCTGGTTGGAAATGCTTAGTTAAAACATTGGCTTTTTTTGTATAAGGTATCTGCTTCAGAAGTTTATCTATTTACCTTCTAACAACCAATCAGCTTCTGTCTTTCCTGTTGTTCATACAGGTTGGGATATATTAGAAGAACACTGATTGTTTTTTCAGTAAAAAAACCTTATATATTACACTGGTTATTTTTAATCCATTTATAAACGTGAGCACATTTCTTTATCAGCTATTTAAAGGTTTTAATCTAAAAGTTACTATGGCTAAGCTTAGAATAAAATAAGCCAAGCACAAAAAAAGTTACTTTTCACCCCACTGTGCTGATCAAACTGTTTTGCAAGCAGAAGGCTAAAAATACAGAGCAGTCTAGGTCCCAGTGACAGTATTGCACCAGCCCAATAATGTGCACAGTGTTTTGAGTTGTATCTCTATTTTGTTCAAACAGTTGACACATATGGGGTTATGCCATTTAAACCTGGAGAAATAAAATAGCCCACAGCAACCAATCAGGTTCCTTCTTCAATTTTAGTCAGTCCTATTTTGTCTTACTATCTGAATGTCTCTCTCTCTGGTCTCTCTGCACACAGCTGATGCCCCTGCTGAGTCAGAGCCAGGGCTGGATTTCCCACAAGGCCACTGAGGAGTAGAGGGGTGACACAACATGTCAATGTTTACAGAGCCGCCAGATCACTTGTATATGGTGCCGCTCGTTGCACCCCCCCCCCTCCCCCTCTGCTGTTCCAGAGCTCCACTGTGCCCGGTGCGGGCCTGGAAGCGGTATTTTGGCTCTGTGACCGGAGATCAGCGGGAGTTCAGTACACAGTTTCACTCGGAACTCCTCCCTGTTCTCTGAATGCAGAAAATGATGTATATTATATCGCTTCCGCATTCAGCTGTCACTCTCCGGCTACAGAAGCCAGAGAGAAGCTGATGAAGCAGACCTCTGCTTCATCAGCTTTTTTAGGGGTTGCTAAAAAAGCCGCGTAGCCCCATAGAGAAGGACGGGGGCTGCGTACTAATCACAGACAGCACCTCTCCTTCCCGGCTGCTGCTTGGTACGCCCCACACGCAGCACGGAGCTGTATGTGCCGGCCGATTCATGTGTGAATGGGGCCTTAATACCACCAAAAGAAAGCTTTATGTGTCCCCAAAAAATGGTATAAAATTTATTTCAGTAAAGAGTTGCATGACTGAATAAATGTCAGCCAAAGTACCGCAACGCTGAATACTGAAAAATGGCCTGGACAGAAGGGGGTTTAACACCACAGGCTTCAAATGGTTAAATAGATTCCACCAAATCTCCATCACCTCCACAGTGATTAAAGATCTCAATGCCGCAGGTACAGCACTGTCAGCGAGAGGTGCTCCCACCCACAGCGCCAGCCCTCCACTCCCTGCTCCAACGCTGCACGGAAATCAGCATCCCCCACATGCAGTGTCAAAGCCCCCAATCACTGCAGAGGTTATAGAGATTCAATGGGATCCAACCAACAGACCGACAAGCTGTCAGTGAGCAAGTAAATCCTATCAAATAAACACATGTGTATCACCTTCAGCTCTGCGGCGATTAAAGACCTCAAAGCAGCATGCAAAAGTTGCCAATGCCTCCACGCAGCACTAAAACAAGGAGCAGATGGGCGGCACCACCACACAAAAGTCCCCCACGCCAACAGCGCCGCACATGCGGCGCCAACATCCCCAACCACCCAAGGTTTGGTGGGGAGGGGGGCACATTGAGGAACCTGGCCTTAGGGCAGCAGAG